GTGTCGTCAGCGTATTGTAATATGTATGCCGTTCTGTCGATTTAATTTTTGTCTGGTAAGTTGTAATTGTATATGTCATGGCAGTATATGCTGTAGAGAAACGGTGAGAGAGGGGATCCTTGAGGGAGCCCTTGTTTTCTAATAAGTTCTTTATGGTGTGTAGTAGATATGGTGGTGTGTGGAGTTTGTATAGTTTGTATAGCAAGCCCCTATACCAGACACTATCAAAAGCCTTCCATTATGCTACCAATTAAAGATGGAACGATTTCAAAATGTTTAATAACAAAGTTGGAGCCCGAACATCAATTGTCGTCCACTATCTTCTCGGAACCACTCTCCTCGCCCTTTGTTGGCGTGAGTTCTTTCAGCTTCTGCTATGTTACTGTAGCATTTCCCCTGAACTAATCGCATATCAGCAAATTCGTGAAAGGAAATTCAAAGTAAGTCACAGTTTGACAAATTATTGTTTTTATTGACAAGGGCTATCCACCTGTAACTATCTGTTAATGACAAAAAACATCATTGCCGCTGTGCCTTTTCATGAAACAATTGTAGAAGAGAACTTTTTTGATATAAAAATTTTTCGTAATTTGAAGCAAAGATTGTAATTTTTCTTTTTGGATACTTAAGTATTCCAATAGGCTGCCAATCCAACGTGGAATTTTTTCAAAATAATGTTTATTAACAAAGTTGAAACTCGATCTTCAACTGTTAATATTTTCTAGAAATTTTCGAAAAAAAAATTTTTAATATTTTTCTCGTACTCCCACAGGGAGCCTCTATCACCCCTTAAAAGGAATGACGCCAATTTTAAATCACCCTGTATATAAAAACCAAACTGAACAAAAGAAAACACTAAAACCAACGAAAAAGTAGCGAAAACACACGAAGCAAGAGCCTGCCAAATCCAGAACATAGCACAGTACATTAGATATGAAACCCAAATAACACGCATAAAATTGGAAAGTTGGTTACTGCATTGGATCATTCAATTGTTATATTCATTAATATGTTGTTCTCTCCCTTTAACCATTTTCCACACTTGGTGCTGCGCTCCTGCGAAACGTCGTGTTCTGTCTCATTGGTAAATCATGTTCTATGTCCGTTTTTCAAGTTTCTCATCGTAGAGTTTGCATGGTTTCTTGTTGATTATAATTGTTAGGCGTCTTATTACTGCAATATTATAGAATTATTGTCTATTTGTGTACGCTAAATCTCTAATTTCGTTAGTAAACCAGGGCTTTGATACTTTTGTTAACTTAATTTTCCTAACTCCTATGCTTTCTTTTGCAGCCTGTAATATGATCGATTCTGTTTTTGTCCAAAGCTCATTTATATTTTCCTCTTTTTTTAATGAATTAATTAACCGTTATTTTGCATCTCTTTATAGCTTCTAGAACGCAAGACACGAGTCGGATTTTCTAAAATATGGTTCCTTCAGTAACGAACCAAAACTGATATACCGACTTTATGTATGATTTGGTTTCAGATCAAAATGTCTTCTATTATATTGATTCAGTTATAGCGTTAATAGTAACAGTTAACAAATCATCTTGAATTACATAGATTTTTCGTATGCAAGGATGTAAAAAATGTTATCCATAAGCTCGTTATTAATTAGTCTAACCTTCGATTTTACCAAAGAAATAACCTAATTCCAGGAAATAAAGCAGTAGCAACGAGCTTCAAGTACAGTCAACGGAATTACTAAAAATTAATCCTATTATAAGAAGCCCCTGTCGGCGTTTTGCAATTATCTACGGCTTCATTCGGTCAATCTATGAGGGACAGGTCACTCTACTTACTTTCCCAGTTAACATGATAAACTCGTCGAGTAATTATTAGCTTTCCAGTCTGCTTTTAACTGATATAATTACTCAGCAGTGACTTCTGCTTTCCGACTTGGATGACATATCGTCCATGAATGATTGTTTCGGCTTATTTTAAGTGCAGTTGTTTAAGGGAAGTACATATATTACTTTATTATTATGGTAAGTGTGAATAATTTAAATATTATCCAATTTTTTAATGAGTTTGCGGCCAATTAAATCACAAGTTATCTGTAGGTAAATCTTTACCCGCAGGTATTAACAAGATCCCTTTAAATCGCATCCAATCTTAGTAAAACTTAATTAACGTTTTCGATTTTTCAATTGGACTTTATTTCACAATTTAAAACGGTTGATTACTTTTATTCAATCAATAAATAGGTTGTTGTGCGGTTATATCGGCTGATCAAAGTATACCAAGTTTTGACCAAATAAGATTTATAAATCAACAAATTTTCTAGATTGTAAATTGAAAGATTATGAAGTGTTTGGTGTCAACCAATTATATTATATTACATTTATTTATATAAATTAGACAGTAGAACTAAGAAGATGATACGAAACATGTTTTTAATTAACCAAGTGTTTCAAATTTCAAATGTGGTAACAGTGTTGAAGAGAATAATTCTAATGCTAGCGAAATAAAAAAAAAGTATACCTACATCACAGTGACGACAATGGTTAGTCCACTTTTCCATTAGTTAAAGACTCCACGTGACTAAAATCGCCATTTTGAGGCGAAAGTTATTTTATTTACCATGCAGTTATGCACGTTTAACTGGAATTATGTCGCCCTTTCTGACCGTGGCTGACTTTTATGGGGTATCATATTAGCATGTATACTGAATGAATTATGTTAATCTTGCCATTAAGTTGGCTTAATGGAAAACTTTGGACATGGAAATAGATTCTAGACAACTTTTGCTGGGTGAAAATGACTATACATTTGTTTTAACTGGTCGACAAGATTGTTTGGAAAATCTTTTTAGTGTTCTGCGGAATAAGCAAGTAAATCCTAATGCTCTTTAGGGTAAAAACAATTCAAAACTCATTTGTGTTTCACAATATTTGAAGTGTCCGAAAGGCTCCAACTATAATGATGATGACAACGAATATTCTTTTTTCTCAGTAATAATACCTGAAAATATTCCCACTTGATTTTAATCTCAATTTCAGTGAGATTAATTCATTATACAATATAGCCGGATATATTATTACCTCCATAAAACCCCAATCAAACACTTCCAATAAATAAATTTCGGAATTAGGATCTAAGGACCTCCTGCTTAAAAACTTCAGGAAGTTTACTCAAATTAAGTGTTATAGAAATAGTACTTTATCTTGCCATGAGCATGTATTCAAGACTTCTAGTAAAAAAGGACCTAGTTAAGCCGGAAACATGCCAGTACGTCTTTAACCCTCCAGCGGGCGCGCCTTTTAAAATCACACGAGCGGGCGCGCCGCGGCTATTGCACCGCAAATGCTTTTCTTTCAAAAAAATGTCATTTACTACTTTAAAATGTATTTAATAAGTGAAATTAAAACAAGTAACCAACAAGAGATGCAATTCTACAAATAATACTTGAAAAAATGCCAACAAAATTAAATATATATGTAAAAAATCTAAAAATACAAATCTGAAGCACATATCATAGTATTTTCCAATGAAAAATTGATAATCCTTTTCTGTTCCCGTGATTAAAATTCTGCTTCTCCTTTATCTGCTTATTGTTCGGAATCACTACTATAAACGTCACTTTCAATAACTTCTGGCTCCAAGTCTGAATCGCTGTCAAAATCGTCATCAACTACGTGACTTCTGTTCACGTTAATGTTCTATCGCAGATCTTATTCTGCTTATCTTCTAATTATCTCACCACCTATGGCAACGATTTTGCTAATTCGTCCGGACTCAATTTTTGTTCGACCTCTAACAAAAATTTAAAAATATATAATTTTTTTTTAGCTTAAACGACATACATCTACAATACGTCACCATAAAGTACCAAACACGATAAATGTGTATCGACATATGCTCAATTCGCAACAAAAACGCCATAATTATATTATTATTATACTTACATGACCAGGCGCACCGCGGCAAATTAGCGCGCCCGCTGGAGGGTTAAGATAGCAGTTTAATATTCTATTGGTTAATGGAAAATTTACATATAACACGTTGTTTTATTTTATTTTATTCATTTTAATTTTATGTTCATTTTATTTTTTAGGTTTGTCTATTCTAAACGTGTTTAGTTTTCGAAATATTGTAAATTTAATGTTTTCATATAGCTATTTTGTCGCATCTTATTTGTAACGTTCTACCTCTGTATCGAAACTGAACATCTTGCTTTTAAAAATAAATAAAATGTAGGGCTGCTTTCATCTTAAGTGGAACAAACACACTGTATACTAAGTGATACAAAGTAAAACTGTACAAACGCTTAATCACAAATTTCTTACCCGAAAATAAGGCGATCTAGGCAAACTTATCTATATCCAATGTTGCTTCATTTTGCCGCTACAGAACGCTAAAGGTCTCAAATTAATACCGCATATTTTGTTCCAAATATCTTCTGCACGTCTATATCGATTTTCACTTTTTTTTGGATTCAACACTTGCTACATAAATGGGCGTGTTTTGAAGTAAGCATGATCTTTTTTAATGCGAGGAAATACTGAACTGATGCTTGGTTCGTTAATAATTGTTCGTATTTTTCTTTTACCCCGTGTACAAATAATTTTAAACTTTTTGTGCTACTATCTCATTTTCTTTTGAATTTTTTTTGCAACTTGTAAAATTTTTGTTAGACCTATTTACATTTTCTGCACAAATAATTAATTATGATATCTTGCAATTCATATTTTTAATTATTCAGACTAAAAAAACATGGAAATGTATTAGTTCTCAATAATTGGACTAATTTAATGAATTTAAGAAATGGTCTAAATGTTGACTGTTTTCCCACACATAAATTATTTATTTTCAAAAAATTAAACTGTACTTTGACTTTTTTTTCCCGGTGAGGTTTGGGAAATGCTCTTTTATGCACTTCCAGAGTTGGTGGTCTGTCGCTCTGGATTGTGTGGGACTCCAGCTAAGCTGTTTACCCACTAAAACCCTTTCCTCAGCGCCGAGGTGGTGTTTGGCCTTGCACCGCGGTCATTTCTGTCCTATTGTGCCCTCGTAATTTTACTCCCTCATTATCCCTGTATATTCAATGAAATCCAGACGAATCTCGAGGGGAGTTCGCATGATCTGGTCTGGTGGAATTTCATCCCCTCCCAGGAGTCTTCGTCTACCTGTTGCACAGAGTAGTTTCGGCCTCTAATTTGCAACCCCTTCAGGTCGGTTGATCGCTCAGTCCCATCCTGAAGAGGTGTTTTTTGCAGGGCGCGTGTCCTGTTAAAAAGGCCACTATCCTCCTTATTTTTTACCTGCTGAGACTTAGCAGTTCATTTTTACGTACTGGTTGTGGAGGTCCCACCAACTGCTTTGCGGTATGGAGTCGCGGTGTCTCATCCCAGTACTTTTTGTGTTGTTCCAAGATCCACTGCCCAACTGCCTCCCTAATTTGGGCATGAGATAGACCACAAGCAGGTTCTTAGTTGGTCAGTGGTTTCTCGGTCCCTGCCTTAGCAAGTTCCGCAACAATCTCGTTTTTCTTGCTTCTGTTCGTACCAGTTACCCAAGTGAGTTCTACTCTGTTTGAGCTCCCGGCCCGGTTTTTTTTCACACACATTGTGACCTGATTGTGTACGATTCTAATGAGTTTATTGTGGCTTTATCTCCGGTTACGCTGGTAGTGTGCTTACGTGTGTGGGCTCTTTCCTTCATTTTCCGGGCGCAATTTGTTATTGCTAGGATGCTTGCTTGGAAAGCTGTTGTAGTTGTACCCAGGTTTAAGGTAATCCTTTCCCCAGTTCTTCCTCTTTCGACTATACCAGCGCCTGTGCCCGACGCCGTTTTTATGCCTTCCGTGTATCATACGGAGTCTCCTGTGAGGGCTGATGGATCCTCCCTGCGGACACCCGCCGGCTACCCGTGCTGCCATGCTGACTTCATTGAGTGCTACAGTAACTGTTCTGCAACTCAGCATGTTTTGGATCCATTTGTATATTATAGGCTCCACTCCACGATTTTTCACCGCTCTGACAATTGACTGAAAAGAGGTATTGTCAAATACTTCCTCTATGTCCAGAAAAGCCGCCGGAGCAATTTCTTTACGCTCTAATGAGATTTGTGTCCTCTGCACCAACTCGAGGATAGCAGATTCGCAGGATTTTCCCATTTGGTAGGCATATTGGCTGTGGTGTAGAGGACTTCTAGTAAGAACCTCTTCCCTGATATGCCTGTCGATCAGCTTTTCTAGTGTTTTGAGTAAGAAGGATGTTAGGCTAATCGGACGAAAGGATTTGGGCTGGGCATAAGTCGCCCGCCCTGGTTTTGGAATGAATACCACTTTCGCCATTCTCCGTTACATTGGTATATATGCCAGGGCCAAGCTGGCCCGGAGCATCTTGCACACAAAGGGCACCAGTAAATCGGTTCCCTATTGTAGCAGAACTGGCATTAGGCCATCTGTGCCCGGTGATTTAAATGGTCTGAAGGAACTCATAGCCCACTTAACTTTGGACTGGTTTATGATGCTTGGGGCAAGAGTCCAGTGCTCTTTCGGTGCACGCTGTCGCGTCCTGTAGGTCACCGGTATCTCCTGTTCTCTGCCTGTTCCCAGTATTTATCCAGGAAAGTGAGTATTAAGCATAAGCTCCAGAGACTCCTCTTCTATTGTTGTATATCCTCCCTGTGGTTTTATCAGGGAGCCCACTTTTCGCGTCTTAGGCGCCTTATAGTGCTCCACAAAATTGCGTAATTTACTTGGAGGTGGTGTCAGGTTTTCCTCAGAGGTGGCGACGTACCTGCGCCCAGTGCCCCCTGTTTCACAGCGGGAATAGGTGCTCTGGGTTGCTGGCTCGACGACTTTCTTGGTGTGTGCTGATTCTCCCGAGGGTCTATCTGGCACAGTTTTGGTTGGTCCAAACTTTTGTTTGTCCCTAACCATTCCTTTCTTCCGTCTGGCCGCTCCCGAGAGTTTTTACCCCTCGGTTGTTTGCCAGCTGCAGAGTATTTGGTGGTGATGTCATGTTGCTGTCCTTATCATTCCCACGAGCAGGGCTTCCCCCCAGCCTTGCATCTCTTGGGGCGTACTATACCGTAAGAATTGGGAGGTGTTATAGTGAACTCATCACGCGATCCGGGTAGTGAAACCAAGATCCCCGTGCCCCCTGCAGTACCTATCTCGAGACCGGAGCCACGAGAGTCGTTGCACTGCAGGCGGTTTCCAGTTTGTCTTTCGAGCTGGTCCGCGGCGACGGTTTTTGCGTATGGCCGTCACTAACAATGTATGTATAGATGTATCTGACTGGCCTTCTCTCTATCCGCCACCTGGTCTCGCGCCCGATGGGTAGCTCAACCTGCACGGAAACACGGTATTGTGTTCTTACGTTGACTTACTTACGCAGAAAAAATATAGCCGCGTTAAAACGTATAATCTTGGTGGCCAATTGATGGGTGCATCGTTGCCCCTTTCTATTATCCAACTTCGCTCAACAACAAAAAGAGTAAACACTATCGATTTTTATCGATTTTTATATATTATTTATTGTTTTCTTTATGAACTTTGTCCATTTTGCTGCCATGATTTGTTCACTCTATTCTTACTCTGTCGTTCCGAAGGTTTACTTTCACGTTTGCTCTCTCTAAGCATTCTGCCGTCGCTGTCCGCCATAAAACTATTCAGTTCGATGACATTCTGGACAATAAGTTTTTCTGTGACAATATAGTCGATTTCATTCTTTTTCACACTGTTTGGAATCGATCAGGTCCTTTAACGGAGTGGACCTTTTGGAAAAGTGCGGACTGGAAAAAATACCAAATAAATAGTTGGGAGAAAAATTGTTGAAAAAACGCAGCAAAAATAAGCCTATATTCAAACAAGAACGACTACATTTACGACGAAGTCGAAATGCCAGGAGCAGACTGAAACTCTGATCCTAAATTCCTCAGAGCAGAGCTTAAGATAAGACTAAAATCTACATCTATGTCAAAACTTACTGAAATACTGCAACTCCAAGGTCCACAGATCTTCAAAACGCACTCCAAACTGCAAACTTTTCCTTTAACAACAATGACATTGATAGAATATGGCAGCATAGATAGATAATATAGAGTGCCAAGTTAAGGAATTGTGATTGAAATATTAAAAAATATGTTATCTTATTTTGGTTATTGAATTAGCGGCTATTGCTCCGATTTATCAAACTCTGTAATTTTTAGGAAATACTTCAGATAATACAGTTTGGATACGCTCTAGCGATTGGAATATTCTTTTTTATGGTATGGGTTTCCATGGTCGAGTCTAAAGAACAAGAACCAGTTCGAGATCCACCCTGCATTTTTAATCCATTGTGCAGCTGTTCGAAATCCAGTCCGGATTTGGGAATAGTTACGTGCAGAGATGTACATTTACCAAGAATTTCCGAAGCCGTTAACATGTCCAAAGTTTTTAAGCTACATCTGGAGAATAATAACTTGAGGACAATGGAACCTTATTTCTTACAAAGTACAGGTACATTATAAAAAATGTTTTTGGTAACATACGATACATAACACATATGAATTACATTTGTTTTCAATGCGATTTGATTGTTGCGTCGGAGGGTACCTGGAAAACCACAAAAATCACTGGATGATGACATTGGCGATAATGCCGGGGAATGGCCCGCACTTTAGTAGCTGGGTTGTCCCCACCAGAAGAGTTTCCGGTCGTTGCGGCATTAAATAGCCCAGTAAATGGGGTGTCCAATGACCGCAAATTCATTCTTACGTTTTTTATATCTTCTAGAACTAAGAAACTGTTTTGCGAGGGTGATTTTTAGGGCCACCCCTTTGTAATGTTTTCTTCGGTTGCACTTGGGTAATCCTTCACTTCAGGGAAAACACGTTTTTCCTCTCTAGTTTTACCTCAGAGCCTTGTACCTCTATGGACGTTTGCTTTCATCATTGGTAAACAAAGCGGAGGATTGGCAAATGACTGTAGGACATTTGAAACCGGGAAACATGTGCGAAATCAAAAAAATAGCCAACGGGCTGAAACAAAATGCAAATAGTGTTTTTCAAAAACTTAAGTCTAAATTAAAGTTCGCAAATTGTTCTATACATAGGGATGCCAGCTGATTTGACCGGAATCAACAAAGACTCTCTCAACTTTGTGCATATTTATTTATCCCAGCAAAAAGGGTCCCCTGTAACTTGAGTTTTCCTGCACGACATGATCAGTTATAGATCAAAAATATAAATATATGTTATAAATAAGATATTGTATTCGATAGAAAATCTATCGAATTCGTAAATCGTATAAATAGTAATCGATAAATTGTATGTATTGTCGACTCATCAAGAAATAAAATAAGTAATTAGTCCAGTCCAAATTGTATTTCCATTTCGATTAGAATTTAGAGAAGTTAAGTTTTATTCCAGCTTTTCGCAAGAAAATAATTCAAAATCACTTAGAAATTTTTTAACACTAAAGGGTGTATAATTAAATACATAAATTAAATTAATTTCTCGTGTTGCAATAGTCGGTATATCCGTTTGTTTCTTATCACAGTCAAGCTCTATATACTCAAGCTGAGGCGGGTGTTTTGGAATGCCTTTATTTGGCACTCAAAGTGGACTGTATTTATTTTATAATTATAATGACGACCACTAAGTGTTTTTTACGATTCTTTATTTGTGCCTTTTTATAATCGAGTCTCTATCAACAACTACTTTTTGTTTACCAACAACAACCGTTGCTACTGGTATCTCGAGCTTCAATTATTTAAATTCTATTCTCAATTATTTTAACAGCACTAACGATAAACAATTCCTTAACATACTCCCCGCCTTGAAAGTCCTAACCTTTCAACTAACCAAAAATTGCTTTCTGTTTATGTTAACAAAATCTAGAGGCAAAAATCCAAGGCCTAACTCTACTGCAAATATTAACCTAAGCTTATCTAACTTAAACTATTCCCTACTTATTAATTCACATCCAAAACTAATCAACTGGTAACGCACAAATCTGGTTAACGGAACGTCTTATGGTACCCTGACGGGTTTTTATGTTTACAACTCTGCACACGTTGTCCTTACCGGGATATAACTTAACTATGCGTCACAGTTTCCAACCTCAGATTGGTACCGAATTCTGTTTGACTAACACTAAAGCCCCTACCTTAAAATGGCCTGGAGAGTTACGCTTCCATTTTGTACGATTTTGAAGCGCAACCAAATATTCGTTTTTCCACCTGTTCCAAACATGTTGCAAATACACCTGAATACGTTGCCATTTCTTAAGCAAATTTTCTTAACATTCGGTTAAATTTAGTTCAGGAAGAACCATTAAATTTCTACCTATTATGAAATGTGCCGGGGTCAACGTAGTAAGATCTTCAGGATCATCATACATAGGACATAAAGGCCTAGAATTCAATATGGCCTCTATTTGTGTCAAAATGGTCTTCAACCGTGTATGAATTCACACCAATCACTCTTTTCAAATGGTGTTTAATGTTTTTAATGCCGGCTTCCCAGAGCCCACCGAAATTTGGAGCCCTTGCTGGAATAAAATGCCATTGGACCCTTTCAGAAACCAAGTCGATAGCTATGGTGTCTGAGGAATTCTTAAAAAATTCATAAATTCATCCGATTTCTTTATTAGCCCCTACATAATTAGTACCATTATCTGAATAAATGTTTAGGGGTTTTTCTCTCCTACTCATAAATCGTTTTAAAGCTGCAAAAAAATTCTCAGAAATCAAATCAGAAACTCAAATCAAATAAAAAATGGTGCACATACATATAAATAGGCATATCCAAACCTTAACAATTTTAGCCCCCCCGGTTTTTCTATCCTTAATGAAAAATGGACCTCCATAATCAGTTCCTACATTTGCAAAAACATAGTGCTCATTCACTCTAACTCCAGGAAGGTCTCCCATTAAATAATTACTGCCAGTCTGGTTTTGCCTTAAGTCACACCACACACTGTCTAACAATCCTTTTACACTTATTCCTGCCCCAAATTATACACAATTTTTCAATGATTGAACTTACAAGTTCCTGAACCCCACAGTGCATGAACCTTTGATGCTCTTGACGTAAAATTAAATCTGTTAAAATATGATCTTTTGGCAAGAGAATAGAATGTTTTTTTTAAGGAACCCTAGATTGCCCAATCCTACCACCAACTCGAATAAGCCCATCCTGAAGATATGGATTTAAAGATAGAATTTTACTTTTTTTATTAATTAACCGATTATTGGCCAGATCCTTATATTCTTGGGAACATCGTTGAATTTGAGCCAATCTTATCAAAATCATCAATAAATTTTCAATTTCCTCTGGGACTAAAACTCATTAAGGTTTGTCATCTTTTTATTCGACCTACTTATTTTTAATTTTTTGATAAATCTTGTAACGTAGCTTAAAACCCGTAAAATTTAATTTAAACAGGAAAATTTATTTAATAATATTTCTAACACGTTCTGTTCCTGATTAACAGCTATGTTACTGTAAGATTGTTTTTCTGGAATATCAAAATCTATTTCTGGGTCTTTCATATCCCATTCTAAATTTGGTGTTGCTAACCAGTCTGGTCCATGAAACCGTAACCTACTTTCACACATCTGTTTAGGCGTTACACCTCTAGATAACAAATCCACTAGATTCTCTTGACATTTAACGTGATACCAATTGTTTATATTTGTTAAGGTTTGTATTTCACTCACCCGATTAGCTACGAAAGTCTTCCAACGGTTGGATTCTCCTTTTATACATGCAAAAGTAACTGAAGAATCAGTTCAGAAATAAAAGTTATCAAACCTTATTTCACTGGTTGTAATTACCTTTCTAGTCAAAATTGCAAATAGGACAGCCCCACAAAGCTCTAACCTTGGTAAATTTACCGTTTTGAGCGGAGCAACTCGACTTCTAGCCGCTAATAAGTGGTTATTGATGGAACCATCAAGCATGAGGTTTCTTATATATCAGACCGCCCCATATGCCCTTTCAGATGCATCACAGGATCCATGGAGTTCCGCCCTAGAACATTCCGCATAAAATACCCTACGAGGTATTTCTAATTTATTAGTTGCTCATCATCTCTCGACCGATGAACAACACTCCTAATCTGCTTGTCTGTTTGGAACAAAGTGATTCATCCTCGCGTCCCAACTACAGTGTTGAAGCTTCGCTGCTCGTTTTGCCACCCCACCGGAACCACGTGTTGACACAGTTCCATAAAAGAAATTCGAGCACGTGCCTGCTTCAGGGGCACGCGCAGGTCCCCAAGGGCTCCGGAAAGCCCCTGCTCAGTCAGTGCAGTACCAGAATTAGTTCGCGAGTTCGTTGTTGGCATTGCCAGATTGAAATACCGGCAGTACTTCCTCCTGCGTAACTCCACCAAAAATGGGCGACTCTTCCAGCGACGAAAGCCGCGATCGCTCTCCATTAAACAAAAACAGTGCAGGTACCTCGAGGAAAATGGGTAAGAACAAATCCCTCTCCGCAAAATTCCCAACCCGTGACCCTGACATAAAGACTCTCAGAGCAGAAATTAAAGTCATGCGGCTTCGAAACTCCAAACAGGACGACCGCATCAAGACCCAAGCTGCCCAAATTCAAGAGCTAACCCGGTTACTCACTTTGCAGTACCAAAAACACACCTCCCCACAAACTGCCCAGCCCTCCTAGACTACCCCCGTTCAGAAAGTGTCTGAAAAGATGGAAGTTGAGGAATTCCCGGCCCTACCGACCAAGACCGCACTCAACTTCCCAAAAACTTCTAACTCGGCCCTCCACCATTACATGGTGCAGCACGCGGACGCCCCCGTACAAACCCCAAAGCAAACCGCCCAAATTTCTGCCACCCCATCCCCGAAAGACTCTTCGGCCCCCAACTCAGAACCACCAGCCCAAAAAACAGCCATTCCGATCGTCATCCGCAACGTGGCTGAATGGACAAAAGTGCGAAACCTTCTCGCACAACACAACTGCGGATACACAAGCTCGAAAAAAGTCTCTCTCGGCATCCAAATTCACCCCCTAACTACAGACGACCATCGGGCAATCACGAAACTCTTCTCTCGTGAAAAGGTGGAATTCCACACTCACACCTTGCTTGACGACAAAAAACTCATTGCCATAATCAAAGGTCTTGACAACAAGATGGCGCTCCCTGAGATCCAAAACGAATTGGAGGAACTGGGCTTCCACCCCTCCCAGATGCAATTCTTCAAAATCGGCAACGCTAAAATCCAGACCAACATGGTCAAAATGCTCCTCCCAAGAGAGGAAACCCCAATC